TATAAATTTCGTTTCGTCTGGGGGTGGGGGGGGGGGGTCAATATACTTTCTTCGGGGGGGGGGGGGGGGTCGATATACTTTCTTCGGGGGGGGGGGATCGATAGACTTTTGTCAGGGGGGGGGGGCTTTGCTCTCCCTTCCCCCGAAGATATGCCTGGAAGAAACTCTGTCCACAAAGTTTTATGGCGATCCGATGAAAGATGTAGTAATTCATATAGGACAAAGAGATAAACATACTTTCATTTCTATAAATATAAATAAATGTATACTTTAACTATTGTCCGTATACCCGCACCCGAAAACTTAGTCACAATTTTCTTTGTTACATTTGAACTCTTTAGGTTAATCAATATAAACAAGATGGAACAAGATGCAAGACAGTTGACCAAGAAATTGAACAAATAAAATTCACGTTATCTTTTTAATGTTTTTAGATATAGAGTAGTAACAGACTACCTACAGGTCCTAACTCGCGACGAGGTACACATTTGTATTAAAACACAGATCTAAGATATTTTCCATTTAGGTGGGTTTTCAGTACAGTGGTTTCTTAAGTCGTGGACAAGTGATTGCGATTATCTCTGTTGAGTAGCTATGTATTCTGTCCTACATTAGACATATTTGTAAATATCTGTCACAATATGGTCATAGAGATGATATAACAATAGTTTATCTTTGCGGACGACGCTAAACTTTGGCATCGACACCACGGCCTACAAGTTCAAATTTGGTCCTTCAGAAATGTTTGAATTCTCTAGATTAAAACTACTTTTTTATATAACACGTTTTTCTTAACTCAGCTTTGCGTTTATTTGTTTGTTTGTTTGTTTATGGGTTTGTTGTTAAAATTGACAACGAAAATTAGCCCACTTCTGATTGCTCTAGACATCTGAAATTCGGCATGCAGGCTATTTTCGCCTAACAATTTCAGATGCAATCATAAAAACTAGCAATTAGAGACCTAAATTAGCTTACTAAAATTACTCCCCAAGGACCCTAAAATTGAGGACATGATTTCTAAAGATACCGACAAGACCTGAGGCCTATTGACACAGTTACTTTGGCCCCAATCGATGTGAGCGCGCTGGCCGTGATCGTATAGTGGTTAGTACTTCGCGTTGTGGCCGCGACAACCCAGGTTCGAATCCTGGTCATGGCATTTGATGACAAAAAACGTGGGTACGTTCACCATCAAATTTAAAAAAAATTCGTGTCATCAAATGTAATCGCCTAACAATTTCAGATGCAATAATAAAAAACTAGCAATTAGAGACCTAAATTAGCTTAATTAAATTCCGCTCCTTCTCTGTTTAAAGCGTATCGGTCGCTCAAGATTTTTAGTCCGTGTATTTAAAATTACTTAATCAAGTCATACTTAATCAAGTCATAAGATAAAGTAGAAAATAAACTATATAAAAACTTTTTGAAAAATCAAGTTTTTCATGTGTAGCAACGGACTAAAAAGGAGAAAATAAAATACTTAAAAAAAAAAAAAAACACGTTTTTCTTGTGGACTAAAAAGTAGAAAATAAATTTTTCTTCCGACCCTAGGGGATCTACCAATGACTGCTCGTAGATTTTGTGCTTCCTCGAGCTGTGCAGGTTCTTGTGATGACTGTTCATATATTTGATGACAAAAAACGTGGATCGGGCAGATGGGTCGGGAAATTTGATGGTGAACGTACCCACGTTTTTTGTCATCAAATCGTTTGAAATAGAGATGTGGGAGGCTGGATTCATAAAAATCAAGTGAGTTGACGAAGCGTTGCCTACGCCTATGCTCCTTAGGAAACCGAAAATAAGGAAAGAAGAAATTAAAAAGAACTTAGAGCAACCCAAGAGGTTCGGCTAGTCTCAGAGCTTCGGTGGATGTTAAGGCACACACCCAACTCATAGGATCCACGATCAGATTTTGTCAATATGGACGAAAATGAAAACTATTAAGAAGGATTCAGTGAAGGCACATATGAAACTGGTAGGGTTCGGTACCTCCAAAAAGGTTAAACAACTGCTTTAGAATGCAAGTTTATTTAGTCTACTTTTGGTTGTGTCTTTAGATTAATTTTTTATATTAATTTCGATTATAGTGTATTACAGTTTTAAGTCATCAGTTAGGTTGAAAAAAGTTGTCGTTTTGTATCATTTTTTAACATTATTTAGTAGGTCTAGTGGACTGAACTACGTAATAATTGCAGTATTTGGACTTATGAAATAGCAATAAAAAAATTATCTATTCGACTTATGTTTTTAGCTCTTAAAATTTCGGCAAGAGTATCGTCTTCCGCCAACTGCTCCGACCGTATACCATTTTACTGATCGGATAGCGATTCAAGAATCCGTGATATTTAGTTCTCTTTAATACAGTGATCCAGGCAAGATGTAATGCAATCAATCAAAAGTATCTGATCTCTCACAATGAAGTTTAGAGAATCGTAAGAATCTTACAAAAACTAGTCGAGGCATTTTTTAACAAAACTAGCTAGTGCAATTATACTTTGTTTCTTTCCTAAGTGTTAAGAGTGTTATCTACTCACCAATCCAGCGAGAAAAGCGTCCCCCCACACACACTCCTCCCAACCATCTTGGACAACTTTTGAATTTGTGGAGCGGGTTTCTAACGTATCTAACTTTTTTTAAAAATGTTACACAATTCTACAATGCACGTTACTACAATTAGTTTCTTTCTGAGTGCTAAAGGTTGTCTACTCAGAATCCAGTGTAAAAGCGCCCCCTGCATCATCTTGATAACTGTCACTAACGTATTTTCCCACGTTTTCTTTAACTTGCTTTCGCGTCTGTTTTTCCAATCAAATCTTGCGATCGAAATTTCGGGCACTTCCCAGTTAGCTAGCGCGCTGCAATTTTCAGGGAAGCTTTGTTTCCGATGACAATACAACATTCAATTGTTACTATTACTAAATTGATCAATGGAAACATTTTATTGATCATTTTAGACCGCTATATATTTCTACAAAAAAACGTGGGGAAAATGGGACATAACCCAGTAATTGTAATTTGATGAAAACAAGGATCGGTACTCTCCCTCTTTTGGCTTACTGAGTAGTGTTCACGTGGTGTTTGTGTACCAACAACCGGAACAACTGTTGGCCAGTATGGGGGAGACGATATGGTCAAGTGGTTGGGCACACGATTGCTAACCCACTCGACACGGTTTCAAGGCACGTGTTTTTTAAGAGTTGTCTTCGTTTACCCAAAAAAAAGTGAATGCGAACAGATAAATCGATAGCAAGATTTTAATGCAAACAAACAGACAAAGACTAAAAAGTAGAAAATAATTATCATTAAAAAAGTTTTTAAAAAACCCACGTTTTCTGATTGAACTAAAAAGTAGAAAATAAATGCTATACGCCGTGATTTTCTTACAGTTTCTAATACTGTTGACTCTCTACAAGCTCCCTAATAAAAGTCAATAGTATTATCTAATCAATAGAAATATACCTTTTACTTCGGCGCCCCACGTTTTTCATCGCTTATAGTAGAGTGATCGCTTGCATTATTGTGATGTATAGCATTTATTTTCTACTTTTTAGTTCAATCAGAAAACGTGGGTTCTTAAAAACTTTTTTAATGATAATTATTACAATTAAACAATCGTACAATACGTTTTAATACAATTGGTTTCTTTTAACACTGGTAACGTTTATCGACTCAACAATCTAGTGTAAATTCTTCTGATTTAAGTCTCGAAAAAGCGCCCCCCCCCCCTTCCATTTAGGAAAAGCTTGAAAGCAGTTGTGCCTGTCACTGTTTCTTAAGAGTATATGATTTACAATAAGTAATCAAGGTTGAAAACAGTTAAATCAGTATGTAAAGGCGTGTAGCCATTACATTTCTCAACTTAGACAGTTTATAATTCAAAACTGCAGCATAAAATCAGCTCTAAAAATTGTTTTCACCCATTTTGCGCCTCTGGACATTGTGGGTATAAACCTTAGGTAAATATTAGCGTAAAGTTTGAGTAAAATGTGTGTTTAGAAATCGGTTTTAATTTTGATTTTGATGCAAGTATCAATAAAGTCGTAGTTATAGATTTTTCTGTTAGTGTTTATCCTAGTATATAAAAGCACATGTGCGCACTTCTCTCTCCCTTCCCCTCTCTCTCTCTCTCTCTCTCTCTCTCTCTCTGTCCGCAAGTTTTTTAGGCGATGTGATCAGTATATTCAGCGATATATGGAGAACTTAAGGATGCGGACTTTTATTGAAAATAATATGGTGGATGTTATAAAGGCATAAACAAAATTTTATTTAAAGAAGAAAAAAAAACATATTCGAATGTAGAAATACATTTTTAATTATGTACCCGGAAAATTGTTTATTGCTACAAAAAGAACGCAATTAAACAATGACGTCGCACGCCACATGTTTAAACTGCGGAAAGAACACAAAACTAATGGCGTATTCTACCAATTTTAGAATATGAAGAATGAAATATTTTATTCAAATTTGATTTAGATCTACAGATCTACTTATCAAGACGTAGCCTACGCTATGAAGTGTATTACATTTTCTGGGCCAAAATTAATACAAATTACTTTAAAAAAGAAAATAAATATCATTGAACAGCCGGGTTTTTAACGGAAACATTTAAGTCTCTTGATTAGCGTGTGCAATTATTATGGTGCTTTGGTTCTTCCAATAAGTATTGGTACCCTTTGTTATTTTAAATTTTAAATAGAGTTTTTAGATATTAAGTTATTTCTTTGCTTTTTCACTAATATTTCAAGGTGTATTGTTGCGGTTTTGAGCCATTACTATTTTATGATTATTTTTTTTCCAAATACGTATAACATCAAACCAAAATAGGCCTATAATTCACTTTTAACGGGTACCGACTGCTACTAGTTATATAATAAGATATACATGTAAGTGCTGGTGTTTTTTTAAAATATAAGCGTGGTATGTATGTGTAGGCCAATACGTAGTAGAAAGTTTAGTTGCAGTTTGAGTGAAATTAAGTGTAATAGTAATCATTTATCTACCTGTATTCGGGTGATCAGCTTCTATAACTGGTGGTATATCTGCTCGCTCCCTGCAAAATATGTTTAAGCTGATTTTACATTTTGTTTTTTGAAGCTTAATATGTAAATGCATTTCAATTATGAACAATAGTATAATATTTCCCGTATGGTTTTTATTTTGTCTTTGCATTTATTATTTCCATATTTATTTAATTTCAAACTTGAACAGGCAGGTAGTTTTCAACGTTAATCGTATCCGATTTGGAATATATTTGTGGATATAAGTTTTGTAATTATATGAGAGCCATTAAGAAAAAAAAGATATCCACTGAATCGTCTCCCTCAATAAAATGTGTATTTGATTTATTACTCGAAATACATTAATTAAATGCTTCGTTTTGGATATAATTTTTCTGAATTTGTCAACACTTTTTATTTTGAAAAAACACGTGATTGCTGTGCATCTTAATATGTGCTAGGCTATTTAATTAAAAGTACGCTGCTAATCAAATTTTTTGAATGTCGTGACCAATAGCAGATTATTTGCGTCCATGTTCATATGAGGTTTTCGTGTTCACATCAGAGGTCTAATTTTTAATTATATTTAATGCCTGCTATTTTATATATTTTACTAATTAGTTGTCAATAACACGTTTTTTAATCTAAAAAGTCTATTTTAAAATTAATCTCAAAATATCAAAATATTAATTCGTAAGAAAATAAATCAATCTGGAGGTTTCGCAAGATGGCTTAAAAGATGGCATACACAAATCTGACAACAGAAAACTGTATTTACTTTGCCCAACAACTCTTTCTTATTCGAATGTATTGTGTATTAACAGTGTCTCTTATAAATATTAATGTTTCAGGGAAAAAGATACCTTGATGAAAATGTGTGCAGTTTATTAATTTATTAGTATTAAACTTTTACTATTACGAAAAAATAATAATTGTTCTTTTTACTGAAATCGTAATGGCATCTGTAACATGCCCAATTTAACTCACCACTTCCATTTACGTCATATTGATTCTACCTATTTAAAAAAATTCAATTACTTGTAACTAGATGCTTAATCTTACTTTGCCACGGGAAACCTATTTTAAATGTACAAACTTGGAAACAAAACACAACATAACACAAACACAAAAGAAAATACAAACGCAAACAATAACTCAAACACAAAGTAAACACCAACACAATGCAAACACCAACACAATTCAAACACAAATGCAAACGCAAAAAAAACCACACACGAAAATACAAACGCTAACGCAACACAAACACAATAGAAAACGCAAACTTAACCAAAATGCAAACGCAAACAAAAAAATGCAAACGCAAACACAACACGCCTAACATAAAAACTACTTTTACGCAAGCATCAACGCATAGTGTTCACAGTCTAGACGAGGCGCCAAAGCGCTCCCTGCCCAGGCACAGGCGGACGCGCCTGATTATATTTAGTGAACGAGTATAAACACCCAGTTTGTCTGCAAACCGAAAAAATAAAAGTAAACTATTACTGATTACAAATAATAATTAGTAAACAGTACGTCAGTGAATAAAATAAATAAAAGGCAGTATTTAAAACATCCGTGTTTTAAGTACCATATTGTCTTTTATAAATCAATGCTAATTTTAATATTTCAACAATGTAATCTTTTGACGTCCGCGGAATTTACATTCACATTTTGTTTTTATTAGCGTGAGTTGAATTTCTTTTTAAATTACCCCCCCCCCCTGGCATAATTATTAAACATTATAAGTAATTATTTTATATACCCTACTGTTATTAAAATGTACCAACATTTTCAAAGAATCTAAGTAAAAATGTTATTTGACATTGATCCTTTTAATACGTTTTAGAAATAAGCGTGTATTTAACATTTTCTACACGTTATGCGGAAGAATAAAAACTGGCAATTATTTAAAAAAATGAAGTCGTTATATAAATAAAGCTATTCAATTATATATAATTGGGATGCAAGTAAAAAGCACGTACATGTGTGTTAGTTAACTTTTTATGGTTCCACAACATAGAGCGCTGACGGAAAGAAATATAGACAGACACACTTCCTCAAAGAGTTGTCAACGAACGTTATTGATCTTTTACACAACATTAAAGGATAAAAATAAGCCCTCGTTTTCGTGTTTTTATTATTATGAACTACAATTTAAAAATTGAAGGTACATATAAAGTATATATATATATATATATATATATATATATATATATATATATATATATATATATATATATATAATTAAAGTAAGGAATCACTAATCTAATGCATTTTATTTTTTCCATTTCCTTCATTAGCACTTTTGATCATTTTAATGAACGCTTTGTAGAGATAAATGTGCAAAAGCTAGGTAATCTTGCCGAACATTGTTGTCTAAATTAATACATAAAAATGCTAAAAGAACTATTTTATAACTAACATACAAAATTTACATCTATAGATCAGTTAAAATTATAATAGCCAAAAATTAGATAGGCATTTAGCAAGAAGAAAGCACACATGTGAATAGTATAATAATAGATTACATTTAAAATTATTTCCCTTTTGAAACAGGCGGTCAATGGAGCAGATGAAGTAGAGTTCACCTCTATCTCTTACCCTGGTATTGGGGCAGGTAGTGTGCTCTTAGTTTTGTCTAGTCGTCTTTAGATTATTTTACAAAAAATAGCTCCAGCTTCAATAGCTTCTCTACAGTGAAACTGTGGACTTCGTGACGACTTTTTATAGAGTAAGATATGATGCACTGTAGGCCACTATGAGAATTAAAGAATCAATGACTATCTTATTTAATTAATACAAAACGTTTAGACCAATAATACACGCAGTCTACAGTTCAAATACTGTAAATGAAATTTTAAAAATACAGGAGCTGTGTGGTAGTGTTATTTACCTTCCCGCTACATTCTTTAATATATTCTGTTAAAAAAGACATCCTTTTATAATTTTAAAAAAAAAAAAGTATGTTGCTTTTTCTGGTGGCAGTGAAAACTACTGCTGATTGAAAAAAAAATTATTAAACAGTGTTTAACATTTCATAATAAACTGTAAAATATTATTTTACATGACAACACTGGATTTTAAAGAGAAATAAATGTTTAAAAAGCAGAAAAAATGCTTATATTTCATTTAATTAAATGTTTCACACATTCACAATTCTTTTTATTTAAAAAAAATAAGTACGGATGTTGTACTTTTCCAGTACCGTTATCGTTTTATGCTTTTAGAAATAACTATACTGATGACCCTTTAATTGTTTTAAGCATTTTCTACATTTTGAAATCATTATTGACCTAAAGTGCGATTAGTCAACTAAGTTAACATGAGTGGAAACGTATCTAATTAAGATATATAAAATTAACCGACCTAAGAGACTATGGCTCTGAATTAACTTTAATCGACATATGTGTAAATATCTTCTTTTTTGTTATTTAAACACAATCAGTATAAATAGTATAACATTTGAAGATCCAAACAAATTAACGTTTAACACAATGTATTGTATACTGCCCATTTTGATGTAGAATTAGCAGGTCTTAAAAATGTTAGATTCAATCCATATTATACTAAAAGTCACTATTGTTTACTCTATGTACACGTTTGTCTGAAACAAGTGAACTCTACTTCACTTGCCCCATAGACCGTCAGGTTTGAAAAGGGAACTTTACTTGTCTGCATTGCTTGACCAGTGCAGACGCACTATGTGTATAAATGTAAAATATATCGAGAACAATGATATTTTTTTTTTATAAAAATGCTTGGCACATATTTATTTATAGACGCTAATTAACTTACTGATTTATTCATTAGTAAAAACACCACTTTTATTATACAATATAATAACAAATACATTACTTATTTACTTAATTTCCCAACAAACATGACTTCCACTGAAAATAAGACCATGTTACACATTTACAAATGTAATGTTCTATAAAGCTACATTTTCCGTTAATGATAAGTATGTTTGATTTTATACATTTTTTATATGATACGCTTCGTATATTATTTATTTAGAGAATACAATTAAATTATCTAGAGAGCTGCCGATAAAATAGATTTAAGCCATTTTTAGCCTCTCTATGAACAAGTATAAGTGAATTCTTCTTAGATGTGGGAGACTAACTTTTTATGATGATGTGTAGTTGGGTGATGGAGGGAAAAGATAAGATCGTCAAACAAGCGTGACATAATTTATGGATGAAACCCCATCCTCCCCCCAGAAACCCACATTTATTCAGGATAAAGGGTAGTCTAGTTTCTTTTCTATCTGAATGTGTGTTCGACGATGTTGAAAGTAATTATTTCATCTACACCTTTGAAATCGTATGCCTGCTGATCTTAAATCATAAAAGTTAGATTTCTTAACATCGTGTCTTTCGTTATTATCTTCTTGATTTGTTTCATCATTTTTTTCTTTTTGCTGCTTCTCTGTCATTTTTGTGTGTGTTATTTGCCTCTTCGTGTGTTTTAAATACGTCCAAGACCTTCCCGTGTTTGTAAAATTCCGCAAGTTTGATCGCGTTCCATCCATCCTTTTGTTTTTTGCTATCTGCTCCCTTTTTCAACAGCAGACCCACGATTTCATTATGACCTTTACTTGAAGCAATCATTAAAGCTGTCCACCCCTTGGAAGTTTCTTCGTCAACTTTGCATTTAGGATCTTGTAGTAATCTTTCAATTACAGATTTGTTTCCGTGTTTAGCAAAGAGGTGTAACTCTGTTACATTTTGCCTTCTTAAAATGCTTTCTCTACTCTCCAGAATTTTTTCGCCCATAATTGGTGGGAATTCGTCTTTTTAAAAATGTGTATGTTAAACGTCTCACCGTTTACAATACAAAAACAAAAGATAATCTGCTCTGCTAATTAATATTTGTTTCTTTATCTGAAAGAAAAAAAAAACCAGCTGAAAAAAAAACCAAATTTAAGCAATTGTAGGCCAATTGGTCTTAAATATAAATTAGAAGAAACGCGTGACCACCACAAAACCTATAGCGTTAGAGATTTCTACGTAATTTAGTTTCTTTTGCTATGAATACACCATTTATAGAGACACGTCTCATTACCTTCACACATCAACTATTTTATAAGACAGAAAGTTTTATTTACAAAACAATACTGAGTTATAAGAACAGAAAAAAGTAACGTGTCGAATGCAAATGAAGTCTTACTAGCCTGAAATACATTTTATAATTTAAAATTTAAACAAAAGAAAGAATCTAATCTATCTTCTATATATATAAAGCAATGTATGTGTGTGTGTCTGTGTGTGTATCTTTTCTGCATTACCACACCTCTTATCACATCGCCGTGAAACTTTGGGAAGTTGTTGAGAATATTCCTGGGGAGGTTTCTGCGAAAAAAAAATTTCAAATTCGCAGGGGTGGCGCCCCGGCAGGTCGCGATTTGTTTTTCTCTATATACGATATATAAAAATAAAAGTCTATTTTGATTTCACACTGCTCATCCGATAGCCATGAGACTTTGGGGAGTTCATTATACCACTCTAGGGAAGGGTTCTGTAAAAAAATATTTTTAATTTCGCAAGGGCGGCGCCACGGGAGGGTCCGATTTTTCTCTATATACGGTATATAAAAATAATGAAAGTGAATTGCAGTGACACTGTTCATCCGATAGGCATAAAACTTTAGGAAGTTGTTGAGAATATTCCTGGGGAGGTTTCTGCGAAAAAACAAATTCAAATTCGCAGGGGTGGCGCCCCGACAGTGCGAGATTTGCTTTTTTCAATATATGGTATATAAACATAAAAGTCTATTTTGGTTTAGCATCGTTCATCCGATAGGCATGAGACTTTAGGGAGTTCATTATACCACTCTATGGAAGGGTTTTTGTAAAAAAAAAAATTAATTTCGCAAGGGCAGCGCCACGGGAGGGTCCGATTTTGCTCTATATACGGTATATAAAAATAATAAAAGTGAATTGCAGTGACACCGTTTATCCGATAGGCATGAAATTTTGGGGAGTTCATTATAAAATTCTAGGGAAGGGTTCTGCAAAAAATCATTTTTAATCTCGCAAGGGCGGCGCCACGGGAGGCTGCGATTTTTCTCTATATACGGTTTATAAAATTTCGGTTTCACACCGTTCATCCGTGTACCTTGAAACTTTGGGGAGATGATTAGATCACTCAATGGTAGGGTTCTGCAAAAAAATATTGTTTAATATTGCAAGGGCGGCGCCCCCGGGGTGGGGTGGGAGCGATTTTTTTCTCTATACACGGTTTATAAAAAATAAAACTCGGATGCGGTTCATCCGAGTACCATGAAACTTTAGGGAGTAGATGGGAATACTCCCGAGAATATTTCTGCGAAAAAGAAAACTAAAGTTTCTTATGGGCGGCGCCATATAGGGTACAACTTTCGTCAATACACGGTTTGGCGCCCAGAGTTTTAGAGCAACTATGTTTACCCTTGGCATCCGTTAATCGAGCGTCCTGCATAGCGAGTAAGGAGTACTACTATATTCAGCGGAAAAAGAACAGGCTTCTAAAAATAACTTTGTAACGCGAGGAAATCCTTCTGTACAGTTTCGTAACCTTGCGAAAGATGAAAAAATAACTTTTTGAATATGAGGAGCCTACTGTAGAGTTTCTTCTCTTTGCAAATGATGCAATAAGCATCTATTATTAGACAATCCAGTCAGAAATTGAGATCGAGCATCTAATAATAGACCATTAGTAACGATAGCATATTGCATCAGTCACACTGATTTTTAAAACACGTCAAATATTATTTTTACGTGTTAAAAAAAAGAATAAAATCCTGATCATTTGTGTCACTTAGCGAATGACAAAATCTGCATCATTATTAACAGGATGCTATTTGGCCGATGGCGACTGTTAGTTTTAAGGAGCCAGGGGTCGTACGCCGAGCCTATGCGGTAGTGTAATCGGGGGGGTGGGGCCATGAGAGCACCGCTCTACGCTCTGACACAGAGGCGCTCACCGAAGTGTGTTCTACCATATTATTTAATGTACACTCAATGTTTTAGAAAAGTAGCTCACGCGTCTAAGAACATATAATTATAATTAATAACGCGTTGGTGAAATCCTAATATATTTCGTCAAACGTTCTTCTGTCGCCGCGGCAACGCGCGGAGGTCGGGTACGCTAGTGCTCTTATAATTTAAACTGTCTAATGCGAGGATTACAAATGAGTGGCTCATCTAAAAGTAGTTTCTTATTTTTGACTGTCATAACGTTATCTTTTTGTCCCTCTCTCTCTCTCTCTCTCTCTGTATATATATATATATATATATATATATATATATATATATATATATATATATATATATATATATTTATATGTATCAATTTATGTTTATATGGTGACATAACAAATTATCTCAGGACAAATATCTCAGGACAAATGATCTCGCGGACAAAATATGCCAGGACAAAATATCTCATGGTAAAATTTCAATAGTATATACGATAATTTTAGTTGATTTGAACATTAGTTTATTGTCATATGAATCTGATTACTATATTTGATATTGTTTATAGACCTTGGTGGATTAATTTGAGCTAGAACAAATACTATAGTGTATTGAGGATAACATGTTAGAAAATACGTTTATGTTTGTGAGGAAGAGGTATTTAACCTGTAATTTTAAATTTTACCCGTGATTTAAGGTAAGAAACATGTAGGGCCAGGATTTTGTTTTTATTTTTTAGCCCTGTGTTGATGTCAAGAGACAGTTAACCCCTGTTGTGTTGTTCATGTGACCACCCGTAATATGAGTGTTGACTGTGACCAAAGGCGTTGTTTGATCAGGTTGAAGACCTTTTTACTTATGTCCTGATCAGGCGGCCCGTGTTCAAATTTACTTTACGGTCAAAGCGCACCTGTGCCGTCCTCCGACGCCCCAGCGGTCAAGTGACCAGGTGGTGCTAAGACTCCTGCATTAGTACTATGGCGCTTACTTTCATTTTAATGAGTAATATTTGCTAGGGGCAAAGTTGGCTGCTACATCAGATGCCATACGAACATGTGTGTCAGCGTATTGTATCCTGCATAAGTGGATACGGCTACTACTTAAATTATCAGTCCAGCTGCATTAAAGATCTCCACCAACGGCCGTGTGATCCCGAGCGCCCCGGCTCCCATATAGAGCACTCTTACTATGTAAACGACAGAAACCTTCAACAAATAATTTTAACCAGTGGTTGCACCCGTCACCCACATTGTAAAGTAACCGGCGGATATATATATATATAAGTCTCGTAATAAGGAGAAGAAATTACTTACATAATGTTGCCGTGCAATGTTGTTGAATATTAGCTCTGTAAAAAGAAAATTCCCTTTTAAAATAAATTGTAATATAAATTGTAAAAAAACAGACATTTCCTAAACGTTAATTAATTTTTATTGCTTCATTGTTTTACAATCACAGTATTTAAAAACACGATGTCTCTTACAAACATATATTTCTAAAACAAAACACATTTTTTAAATGTGAACGCTAAAGTATGAAATTATACTTTTGTAATTTGCTACCTATAAGTAAAGGAACGAAACTTTGTTATACCAACGTCTACATAGAAGAAATCAATAACATCAATGGATCAGCTATAGGCTATCGACCTTTTTATTCAGTTGTTTTTTCTCACGCTTGCAATAAACGTGCTACTCCTTGCTTGGTGTTAGAATCATGTCATTAAAATTAATAATAGGCTGGACTTAATTACGATTAACTTTACTACTTTCAAAGTATTTGTGCATTTCCAATCATAAATAGATATTAGGTTTAATATTAACATTAATATTAACATTTTTGATTAATTACGTAACTAGAGCGCGGCTCTTGTGACTACTGTTTAAAGAAGTAAACGTTATTTGGTTACTTTATCAGAAAAGCATTTTTTTCAAATAATAAGGTAAAGATCCTAATATATAATTCCCCATGTGCGCACTTCTCTCTCTCTCTCTCTCTCTCTCTGTCTGTCCGCAAAATATTTTCGCCGGACATCACGTCAGAAACGTCAGCGATATATTAAGAACTTTATACGGACTTTTGTTGAAAATAATATGTTAGATGTTTTAAATGTATAACCACAATTTTATTTAAAGAAGAAAAATAAAAATTAAAGGCGTATTCGAATGTAGAGAAACAGTATTATTTATGCAACCGGAAAAGCATTAATAGATGTGAAAAAGAACACATAAAACTGTGACGTCACTATTGCTTATACTTTAACTAATGACGTCATCTGCCGTGTTTAGAATTAAAATAAATGAACTATTTCATTCAAATTTGATTTAGATCTACGTACACTATGAAATGTATACAATACAATTTTTCCGGCCTAACCTCATAAAATTTATTTTATTTATTTGGATTCTAGATCTAGATATTCTAGATTCATCTATTCAAATAATACATTTCTATACTAAAGTGTTTCAGGCCTTAATTACTTTATTGAAATCTTTGTTTATCTATGCAATTTGCTAATCTCTATAATATATAAAGCAAAGTTGTCGGGTGCCCGATAGGGTACTTCCCGGCGCCGCAGGCGCTTCAAATTTGGCAGGATCTTGCTTAGGGGCGACAGAACACGGGGGCCGGTTGGCCGAAAAGTCTACGATGATGGGGTCAAAACTGACCTCGACTGACCGGCGCCTTATATGAGCTATACATCGAAAAAAATGTCCACGGAGGAACCTCTTCATAACTCCTGAGGTCGTAGACCGACCCTCGAACGAATTAATTAAGCATTCAATATCTCAATGTTTTCGAAAGCCTATGCGAAGCTGGGCAGCATGCCTAGTAAATACATATTAGTTCTAGTTATATAGGTGCGATAAATATATAAAGTCGTTCTAGTTTTTTTAAAATTAGAATGTAGGCTATATGAATGTATTCCCAAAAAAATCTATCCACATAAACTATGTTATTTTAAACATAACTAAATTGTTTATAGAGTGTGTTGTTTCATTGTAAGAAACAAACTCGGACTTGAAACAGTGAGCTCATAATAATAACTATTATAATTAAAAAAAGAAACAAATAAATTTAGCATTTATGTCTGTTTAAAACATTAAATACTTAAAGTATACACCAACAAATAACAGATTTTTTTACTTAATCTCCGATAGTAAAGTACATTACAAGCCGCTTCTATCGTAATGTCTATACGATACCGTTTGTAAAGAAACAACTTTTAGTTTTAGCGTCAAGTAATTTACTTTAAAAAATCGTCCGCTAAATGGATTTGTACTCTAGTGTATATCGCATGGCTGCATGCATATACATTTTTTTAATCATTGATCCGTTGATCAATACATTATATAAATAATAGCATTAAAACATATTTGAGCATATATTCTTTTGAAAATATCTGATATCATATGTAAAAAAACAACATTAATTTGCAGCCCTACCTCACGAAGTGTTTGTAATTTGATCACAGGATATGAACAAATACATTATAGATTGTGTTGTTAGGAAGGCATACATTTTTATTAATAAGTACACAATACGTAAATAGCATGTTAATAAAATAAACGTGTAAAATAAATAGTATAATGACATTAAATAAACACGTACCAACCATTCAAATCAAGATATGTTTAATGGTGAATTAGTTAATTGAAGTCGTAAAGATATACCTAAGCTCCCCCATTTTCAACCTGTTAAACTAGTAGTGTTCCTGGTATCTGGAAACTGAACTTTTTATTTATTGTTGTACTTTAACGTTGGGTAGGAAGTTAGGACAAAATGGCTTTAACCACACCTCTATTAACCCACTTATTGTGTTTCTTGTGAAGATATAGTGATAGAAAAACTAGAAATCGATATTTAACACGTTCTTGTCAAGAGGCTCCCTTAAAGAATTGTTTTCTAACTTCACTGTGGCTCCGTCGAAAGCTATTACTAACGACCAGCAGCACGTGAAAACAGCATTAGGTAGAATGAGCAATGCACACATTCCAAGCGTTTGATTAATGGGCAATCAACAATGTTCTTTGAAAATATCATTGATCTTTATCGAATACAGTGCGCACCTCTCCTTAAAGTCTATTGAAAATGTTGCCAATAGTCACAATGTAACAACGGCACCCCCTTCGATTACATTGATAAAACATTTCAATCAACGTGCTGCACGTATTAGACGAATCTACATCTGAATTGGCAGCATTAGAATACGTTTAAATTTTAGTTTCTACTGCATCTGAAACAAAGGCGCACAATGCGTCGTAGATACAGGGAGAATTAAGTGAAGGAGATTTTTTTTTCACACGTTATATCTTATCTCAAAAACTATATACAATCGTATAAATAGGCCAATTAAAATGGTTTAGTTATTGTTATCGTTATGGTTGTAGTAGTCGTTTCCCTTTTTTCCTGTTTTCCTTTTTCCTTATCATCCTTATCTGATGACATAATATATATATATATATATATATATATATATATATATATATATATATATATATATATATATATATATATATATATATATATATATATATATATATATATATATATATATATATATATATATATATATATATATATATATATATATATATATATATATATATACTAGGCATACTGCCTAGCTTCGCATGGGTTTACAAAAAAGTTGATTATTTGAATACTTAATTATTTAGTGATGGCTGAGGTGTGGAGTGCTTGAATTTAAACAGTAATGCTAATTTTAGAGAAAAGGTTGGAAAGTTCGAAATGTATGACTAAAATGAAATTACAACTACAGGGGTTCCATACTAAAACAAATACTATACTTTGTCATTTTCTATTACTGTTTAAAATAGCATACAATTATTTGAAAAATAATTATTATTTTAAAAGGCTACCTCCCTTGAAAATGGACCGAATGACGAAAGTCTTTGTTTCCTTTTTTTTAAAACAAACAGTTGCTATGCTTATATAAGAAAATACGATATATGAACATATTTAACGACTACAATGGCTTTTTCCGACGGGTATAAAGATTTTTTTACCCTCCAGGGTCGGTCTACGACCTCAAATAATATTAAGGGGATCGTTCGTCAATTTATTTATATATATCTCATATAAGGAGAATTTCACTCGCGGTCCTCTTTTAGCCCTGGTCGAGGGCTTTGAGTCTGACAAACAGTTTTTCCATACGGCCTAGTCATCTATAGAAGTGTATGCAAAACATTAGCATGATGTACAGAGGATACGTAACCTAAACATTGTGTTGAAAATTCCGTTTTCCCCATAAAATACAAAGATTATATAGGGAAATAAAACTAATCAGTTCTGACCCTTTTACGAAGTTTTCCTAGATATGCCGAGTTTTTTGTGACACCCCTATGTGTTCTCCTGCCACCTCACAAAATATCAAGGGGGGGGGGGTCGTCGGAGGACATTATTTTTCGTTATATAGCTCACATAAGGGGATTATCACTCGCGGTTTTGTTTTAGCCCTCGTCGAGGGCTTTGAGTCAAACCGACAGTTTTCCCTAAAGGTCAAGTCAATTAAGTAAGAGCATGCAAAAAAAAATAGCCAGATGTAAAGACGGTGAGTGCCTTAAAATCCGCTTTGAAATCACCCTCTGTTTTTCCAATAAAACAAATATTATATAAGGAAATACGACTGGTCAGTTTTGACCCATTTACCGAATTTTCCGGATATGGCGAGTTTTTTGTGACACCCCAAGGCGTTCTCCTACCACCTCACAAAATTTCAAGGGGGGTCGTAGGAGGTAATTTTTTTTCGTAATAGAGCTCATATAAAGAGAATTTCACTCGCGGTCACTTTTTAGCCTTCGTCGAGGGCTTTGAGTGAAACCGATAGGTATGCCCTACGGCCTAGACATTTACCTAAAAGCATGTTAAAAATTAACCTTATGTACAGAGGGTAAGTACCCTGAAATCCTTTTTGAAAGTACCCTATGTTTTTCCCGGACATGGCGAGTTTTTTCTGACACCCCTAGACGATCGCCTACCACCTCACAAAATATCAAGGGGGGTCGTTCGCCTTAAAATATTTTTCGTAAAATAGTCCATATAAGGCGCCGGTCAGTCGAGGTCAAGTTCGACCCCCTCTTCGTGGACGTTTCGGTCAACCGTCACCTGCTCTCGTGTGCTATCGCCCCAAGGCGCCACCGTGCCAAATTTGACGTGCACCTGACCCTTTTGCTTATATATAAGCCTTAAATATATATATATGCCCTTATACCCTAAAACTCCGAAAAATATTTTTTTTAGTGTGATAGAAGAGAATCGCACTTAATACCAAGCCACAGTACTTTTTAAATTCTCGTGAAATAAATATGTATTTTTCCTAATTTGGT